AATTGTTATCAGGACTGATTGTGAGGGTTGGAAATGTAAAGGTAGACGTTTATAGCAAGGAGGGGAGTGATTAACATTTCAGTCTAGGAGCAGAGGTCCCTAGGACCATCAGTGGAGAAGAGCGGAGAGCGGGACCCTACCCAGAGTAGCAGTGACACCAGAGATAGAAGCAGAGACAATGACATGGAGAGATGGAGCAGCTGGGGACTTTAGACCCAGAGAGGGAGAGGGGCTGTGTGCTAACGACTGGGGGGCAGGCTTGTAGGGTATATACCCTTTGGTTGGTTGATGATGCATGGAGGGGATTGTAATCATGGCAATTAAACAATATACGATAAAATGAATGTAAAATTAATGTTGTCCCATGTAAACTATCACACAATTCATAATAAAACTTTTTTTTTTTAATGTACAGCCTCAGAAACCCTCTACAGTGTCACTATGAGTCGGAACCAACTCCACAACATATAACCACCACTACCACCATTATGTTCAAAAGAAACATCACTCTGGGAGAGACACACTATGGTGCATGGCATCATGGGATAGCATTAGAACGAAGCTGCACTTCCAAGAACAGACAGTAAGTCACTTTTTCTTCAGTCTATTTGTTTTGCTTTTGTTGTTATGTGCTGTTGAGTTGGTTCCAACTCATATCAACCCTGTATAGGGTTTCCCAGGAGTGGCTGGTGAGGTCTGAACTGCCAACCTTGTGGTTCAAACCAACCTTGAGGTTCAAACCAACCTCACGGTCCAGCACCAGGATGAATTCAAAACACAAGTATAAGGCAGGTGAAGGATGCTACACTAGAAAAACTCCACTATCTATGGTTTTATAGTATTAGTTTGGTAGATATCTATGTAGATAAAAAAATTTTTTTAATTTTTTTCTTTCACCAGGGCCACTTGTTGTTGTTGCTAAGTGCCATAGCAACCCTGTATAGGGGTGGCTGGTGGGTTTGAACCGTCAACCTTGCTGTTCAAACTGACTTTGTGATACAGAGCATTGTCCTGCAGCAGCACACCATGACTCAAAGGACCACTAGTCTATTAAAAACTAAAATTAAATACTAAAGGACCATATATAAGAAAAAATTTAGGAAAATGATAATAGTAATTTTTTTATAAAAACAAAAATATTGCATGTGCTATTATTTTTTAATTTCATACTATGGTCAAATAAAGACATAAAGAACAATTGTTCTGATAAACATAAAACAGAAAGATAAAAGAAAACACTAATATAGCCAGGGCTCTTGGTCACCCAGGTCTGGAACTGAACTGACCCCCAGGGCTCACTGTCCAGCCAAGCAGCAGATAGGCATATAGGAGGGACAACAACACTACTGAAGTACAAACACCATAGAGGGATCAATCATTCACCATCAAAACAGCAACATTTACTGAAGGACAAAGTGCAGAAAGGCGGGGAAAGAAAGAGGAATGGAAACAAGAAACCCAAGGACGTTAGATTGAGGGAATTGCCACTAAGATGCAAAGAAGCTTATGTTTGGTTAAAGGAAAACTAATGATCTGCTCTGTAAAACTTCACTCAAGTCAAAAGAAAAAGTTAAAAAAAGAAAAAGCAAATATAGAAGGAAAAAGAAAAACAGGAGGAAAAGAAAAAATGATGAAAGAAAAGCAAGAGAAAAGATCTTTTTTTAAAAAAAGCAAGAAAGAGAACTTATTAACAGAATGAACCACATAAATTGTAGTTTACTTATGTTGCAACATGAACAAGATTTTTGAACATGGCACTGTGGGTTAATGGGCTGGACCACAAAGTCGGTTTGAACTACAAGGTTAGCAGTTAGAAAACCTATACAGAGTCACTAGGATCAGAACCAACTCGATGACACTTACCAATAACAACAACATTAGAAATCAAATAAGGAACAATTATTCACAAATCTTCAACCGCTTTTAGCAAAACATCAAGTTTTGCTTTGTTTTTTTCAATCCATCAAGTTTTGACGAAAGAACTACTCCATAAGTTCAGCACCATGATCAAAACATCCTTTATAAGATGTCTACAAAGGACCCAACCAAGCAAACACAGGTTGTTGGTAAGCAGTTACATGTCTTATTATAGATTACTATTAAACTGTAATGCAGCCCTGGTGTAGCACTGTAGGATATGCACTGGAGTACTAACCACAAAGTTGATGGTTCAAACCTACCAGCTACTCCTCAGAAACCCTATTCAGAGTCACTATGAGTCAAAACTGACTAGATGACATTTAATGACAACATCAAACTGTAAAAGTTTAAAAAATCAAAATAGCTATTGGCACCTAGTAAATCTTTTTAATCATAAAGCACCAAGAGTCTGTGTGATAAGTTAAGTCAGTCTCCTTTTATTTCATATTTAATCACAGTAGTCTTGTTGTTAGGTGGCGTCAAGTCGCTCTTGACCATGGCGACCCAGAGGGTTTTCTAGGCTGCCATCTTTACAGGAGCAGATCACCAGGTCTTTCTCCTGAAGAATCCATTAAGTGGGTTCAAACTTCCAGTCTTCCGATTGGCAATAAAGCACTTCACTGTTGCACCACCGGGTGCCCTACTAGAGTGCTAAGGGACAGAGTCGAGAGAATCCATGCAGCTCATGCTGGTGACTGTGTGTAACTCTTAGTTATAACTCTGATTTACTCTCCAGACTATTGAGTACACTGTCTGAAAAGCAAGCAAACCCAATCTAGAACTCGGCTCAGTGACACTGACGTGTTTTTCTCCACCACTGGTTCACCCTGCTGAACCAATCCCTGCTAAACCAGGAATTAAGGGTGAGACAGCCCACGAAGTGGATGACAGGACATAATGGGAACCAGGCACCAGAGGACACTACCCAGAGAGCTGGGAACTTTCTAAAATCCCCCATCCAAACTACCCAACTACAAATTCAAGCACAAATCAAGTATCCAAGTCAATCCTTGACTATGAGGGTACCAAATATTGGGAGTTGGCTAGAGGCTTTATAGAAGATTTGTTGTTGTTGTTAAGTGCCATTGAGTCAATTCTGACCCATAGCAACCCTGTATAAGGTTTCCAAGGAGCGGCTGATTAGCTTGAACCACCGACCTTGCGGTTAAAACCAACTTTACAGCCTAGCGCATTAACCCACAGCACCACACCAGGACTCCTTATATATGTATGATTAAATCATTTGAAAATGCTTAAAATTTTAAATTTTACCTCCTAATTGCCTTTCTGCCTCAGCACCATGGATTTGGCCACTGGGTTCTTAGTATAATCTAGTCTCTACCTTTTCTGAAAAGGAGATATAAGGTTCCTTTTCCTCAATAATTGAAATTACTAAGAGCCGTGAGACTTAGGACACAATTGAAAGTGAAGCAGCCAAGTCTCTGTGAAGTGACGATCTACCTGGGGGGAGCAAGGCAAAGAGCAAACAGGACAGTACTCTCAATTCATGTCCTCCTACTGGAGTTCCCAACAAACCACAGAGTAGGAGTCAACCAAACAAACCTTTCTACAAATGTTGACTGAAGAGAGTACAAAGTAGAAATATGAATCTATAAACAGAATTGAGTTCATCTAAATGCATTTACAATCTCTTATTTCATGGGAAAGTTAATACATATTATGATGAACACACTGAACTCAGTGCTAAAAGGAACACAAACTAGGAAGGGGCAAAGTTCTGCCTCCAGGTGGATGGGAGAGTAAGAAAAGAAGGACTCATGAACAGCTTCACAGGCAGCAAGAAATCAAAGATGGGCCTTACAGGATGCATAGGAATTTGCTAGTGGGCAAGAAGAAAAAGAATTTCAGTCAGTATGAGCCCCAAAAATGAAAAGCCTGAACTAAGAAGATGTGATAATATATAACATGTTTAGGTTACCAGGAGTACTTTAATGGGGCTGAACCAAACTAGAGGGCGATGGCAAAAGACGCTGGGAAAGAAATATGGAGATCAAAAAAAAGGGACTACAGATTGTATGCCAACAAGTTGGACTTTATTCTGAAAGAAACGAGGTGACTGATTGAAGATAAAGTCTGTGTTAACTTGACTGGGCCAGGATTCACTGGTTTGGCAGTTCAGATGTAGCAATCCTCCATGATGAGCTGGATGAGCAGCCAATCAATTACAAGAAAATTTCCTTGGGGGATGTGGGCCTACTTCCAATATACTGAACACTTGGACTAAGCTTGCTTGCTTTCTCCTGGGTCTGGATCCTGCGTCTGACTTGTCATCCAACCTCTAGTTCTTTGGACTTGAGTTGATTGCCTGCTGATCCTAGGAGTAGTCAGCAGCCAACCTTCTTACCTGCTGAAGCTGTCATCTGCCATCTGACCTGCCAATCTTGGTTCATCAGTCCAGCAGCTAAGGGATTCAGAAGCCTCCAGCCTGACATCTAACCAATGGACGAGGGCCTTCCACCTCCACAACTGTGTGAGCCATTTCCTTGATATAAACCTCTCTTTATATATAATTTTCGCTAGTTTTGCTTCTCTAGAGAACCCAGTCTAAGACAGAGACTTTGATGGTTTTTGAATAAAAGGAAGTTGACAAGATGAGATAGATATTCTAGAAATTGGTAAATTTCGCAATAGTCTGAAAGCTAGATTACTGGGGTATGGAGATAGAGTGAGAGAGAGAGAGAGATCAGATACAAAATGATTACAGAAGGGAGTCTTTGGAATCTATTAATAGACCTATAAATCATAAATCCTGAGCCCCTCATGCCAGCTTATATTGTTTTATATACTTAAAAAGAAAAAAAAAAACTTGACAAAATTTTTAAACATTCTATGATTAAGAGTTTTTACTAATTCAATTCGTTCCCCCAATCATTCCAAACCAGAAAGGCTTTTTTATATACATATTTGTTATTAATCATCATCTCCAATTTTGACATTTTTAATCAAAATGCCACTAAAATTGTTTTTATACTATCTTATGGCCTTTTGTGAAATACTTGTTACACATCAAATTTGACCCAATAAAGTACTTGCCATAGGGCATTCTTTTTCATCCTTACCATTACCAGTTCTTCCTGTAATTCACTGCAACTTTTTTCATTATACTGAAGTCTCTTTGAAAGGTCCATAATTACTTTCTTCTGTTCCTCGATCTCTTCATTTAATTTCTTGTTTTTGGAGAAATACTCTCTTTCCAGTCTGAAAAGTTAAAGTGTCAGAACAGGTTTTTCAAATATGCTTTTGTCCATGGCAATTATATGCCTTTAGCACAAGTGGCAGATGCACCATAAACATCATGTTGGCATGCCTAGAAGCTTCTGCAAGTCACCTTTCCCTGTTCTAAGACAAAAAGATCACACTTTCTTACAAGAAAAATTTTAATGGGGTAATACTTCCCCTTTTGATAGCAGGTACTTTTACTATGACCAAGGGTATAAGCAAGATTAATTTGGTTAGTGTTGATTTGGTCTTGCCATTATTTTTAAGGAATGAAACACCCACCTACTATTCAATTCGCTCAGCCAACTGCCTCAAGACTGAGAAAACAATTCTACCAAACAATCTTCAACTTAAAAAACAACCTTAGAAATGGAAGAAATCTTTTACCCTAAGTATTCAGGAACCTATGTTGTGGCACAGAAAATCCAAAAGCAACAATAATTTAAAAAATCATTCATACTCACGTTCAAAACCTATGTATTTTTTCTCCAAGGACTGTCTTTCCAATTTTCAAACTTCAAAATGCAGTTTTCAATTTTCTGACAACTTCTTCATAATAAGCCCTTGTGATCATCCTGTGTCTTTCAAGAAAATCTATCAAGATTGTTGTTGCTGTTCAGTGGAGCTCCAACTCATCTCCACCCTGTATAGGGGTTTCTGAGGAGCTTCTGGTGAGTCTGAACTGCCAACTTTGCATTTCAAACCAACTCTGTGGTAGAGTGCTTATACTACAGTGCCACACCAGGCCTCCCTATGAAATTCCACAAAACAGTTGCTATAACTTTCTGAGCTAATCTCTCTGTTTGTACTTACTTGGTCCAGCCAATCCCCTTGGAAGAAACGGTTTTGATTGGACCATTTATTTATTTTGCTTTTTAAGACACCCTAGTGTGGCGCTGTAGGGTAAGCACTAGACCAAGGACCACAGTTTGGCAGTTGCTCCTTGGAAAACCTTTACAGGTTTTCACTATGAGTCAGAATTGACTCCATGGCACTTAACAACAACAACAACAACAATGAAACTAAGACAAGTGTATTACTGAAAGAACTTGTCTGCAGTCATCCACTGATCCCAAAGACAAGTTTAAACATGTTTTCTTTAGAATAAACCTATGCATGTAGAAGCTACAATTCTAGTAGTAATACTTTTGGACTTATCCTCATACAGAGCTAGTTTTGAGTGGTACATGATCTTTTCTAAATGGCAAACATTCTTTTCTCTGTGGAGGAACACAGACAATTCTAGTGTAAACCATAGTGCATATTCTTATTTGGATCAAGTATATACCAAAGTTGCTGCTGTTAAGTGCGGTTCCGACTCACAGCAACCCTGTCAATGTTTTATATCTTCACAGGAGTAGAACCCCTTATCTTACTCCTGAGGAGTGGGTGGCAGGCTTGAACCACAGACCTGTGGTTCTCAGTCCAGTGCTTATTGTACAGAGCCACTGTGCTCCCATATACCAAGGGAGAATAACTAAAATTTAAAATAAAAATATGAAGGACTGGGTGCTGCAGCTATGTAATTAGAACTACATAACAAAGATGGATCAAAAAAGAGAAAATATAAGAACATCAGAAAAGGAACCCAGGAATGCCAGCATCTAAAATAACTGGAGTTTCAGAAAGAGAAAACGAAAGGGAGAAATCAACAAAGTGAGAAAATTTCCCAGAAATGAGTAACTTGAGTCTCTAGAACTGAAAGAACTCAAGGAATAACTGGACCATGAATGAAAATGACCCGGGTCAGGCCCATCATCAAATTTCATAACACTGGGAAAAGAGAGAAGAATCTAGAGTGTCAACAAAGCATACAGATATGTTTTATAGTTCTATCATATATGTAATGGTTAATTCATTTATATTGTTCTACGGGTTTGCCTACAAACACAGATTTGGTGGTCAATCTGTACAAGTTCCCAGAAGAAAATATATGCCACACACAAAAGATCAGGAATCCAAGGACCTCTGACTACTCAATGTTAGAATGGAATGAACAGCCAGTTAAACTATCAAAAAAGGGGAAGTCAAATAAAAACATTCTCAACAGGCAAGTTTAAAAGTTTCCCTGTACGTGGTTAAGCACTTAGCTGCTAACCAAAAGGTCAGCAGTTTGAACACATCAGTTGCTCCATGGGAGAAAGATGTGGGTCTGCTTGCATAAAAGACTATAGACTTGGAAACCCAATGAGGCAGTTCAACGGTTGTCACTAATAGCCAAAATTGAATAGAGAGCAATGTAGGTTTTTTGGGATTTGGGGTGTACCAGTTCCTATTCTAGGCACTGGGGAGATCACAGTGAATAAAAGAAAGTTCCTATCCACATAAGAAGACAGACAAAAACAACAAAGAATGTGGTATTGTTATTTGTAGGTTCCAACTCATAGCAACCCTGTATAGGGATTCTAAAAGTGGCTGGTAGGTTTGAACTGCTGACCTTGCAGTTAGCAGTCCAGTGTTTATTCTACATCACCACACCAGGGCTCAAAATGTTACATAGTATTAAGTGTTATAAAGAAAAGTAAAGATGAATTGCAAAAACAAAACAAGAAGTCTAGAAAAACTAAACCCAAAAATTCTATTTAAAGGATGAGAGAAGGGAAGGAATAGAGATAAACAAGTAGAGGACACAGATAATAACTGAAGTTAAAAATTGGGGCGGGGTGGAGACTCTATCCAGAGAAGCAGCAACACCAGAGATGGAGGCAGAGATAAGGACATGGAAGAGGGAGCAGCAGAGGACTCTAGACTCATGGAAAGAGAGGGACTGTGTGCTGGCAGCCAGGTTTGCAGAATGTGCCCTTTGGTTGTTTAGATTATTATATATTCCTGAGTGTTTCTGTGTACATATCCCCACCACTATCCCCCACAAAAAAATAAGAGGGAATGGAAGTAAATACTGTTGAGTGATGATGCATGGAGGAGATTGTAATCACTGCAATGAAAAGATGGTGTAAAGCCAATGTTCTCCCATGTAAACTATCACTCCGTTCACAATAAAAACTGAAGAAAAAAAAAAATGGGTGAGGAAATAGTTCAACTATTGGTCTCCTCCTGTTCAGAGCAAGAAAAGTGCAAAAAATTAAAGACATAAGAAAACAGTAAATACAAATAACTAATGGAACACATGATCCCAAATCTCTAGAGAACCAAAGAACTAGATAGCGCCCAGCTGCCACTGCATAAGGCTCTGAAAGGAACCACAATAAGAGGTCCTAATGGAGTGGGAGAAAAATGTGGGACAAAATGCAAAACCATAAAAAAGACCAGACTTACTGGTCTGACAGAGACTGATGGGCCCTTATATGCCCTTCAAACCTAGCCATGAACTCACCCCGGTGGCTCAATTTTGAGCCAAAAGAGAGGCCTCTAAGGTGAAGCAGGGAGGTACATATTCCTTAGAACAATCTACCAAATGAGATCAACAGGGAGCATTTACCCAGGAATGAAGCTCAAAGGCAGGAAGGACTAGAAAAGAAGGATGAATGGAAACTGAGGAACAGTGCTACCACAGTATGGGGATTGCAATCAACAAATCAAAATGTGCATACAGTCTTCAATGGAAAGCCAATCTGCTCTGTAAATCACAATTAAAACAAAAAAAGATGAGCAATGAAGAAAGAGTCATATAAATAAAACAGGACTAGTAGAGAGAAAGAAAGGAACTCTGGTAGCTTATTGGTTACAAACTGGGCTTCAAACTGCAAGGTCAGCAGTTTGAAACTACCAGCTGTTCCACGGGAGAAAGATGAGGCTTTCTGCTCCCGAAAAAATTTATAGCCTCGGAAACCCTGTACAGGGTCACTATGAGTCAGAACCAACTCCATGGCACATAACCACCACCACCACCAGAGAGAAAGAAGAACGAAACAAATTGAAAAATGGTAGAATAGACATGTTACTTAGAAATATGACGTTAAATATCAGAAGAACCAGTGACAAGAATTACAAGAGGTTGCTTCACGAGTGGAAACTGGTATTAATCATGAATCTAACGCTACTGTTAAGACTTTTTAGATAATGTCATAAAAATTAAAATCCTGGTGTGACACTATAGGAAAAGCACTGGACCATAAGATCAATTTGAACCTCAAAGTCAGCAGTTCAAATTTACCAGCCGTCCCTCAGAAACCCTGTATAGGGTTCCTTGAGTCAGAACCAACTCAACGGCACTTAACAACAACAACAATATTACTCAGCAAATTGTAAAATGAAATGCATCTATCATTCAATGCTAATTTTAAAGTCCAAACTGGACCCACTGCAATGAGGGACCAGTCCTTGCTGTCAACACAACCAAAAGCATCTGGTCTCTGCCAACAGCCCTACCCAAGAGGGACTCTGTAGGGTAGGAGTGTAATGAAGGTCTTAACCTTCATTACACTCCTACCCTACAGGGGAATCCCCGAATTAGCCAGTGAGTCGTGTTCTTAGGTGCCATCGAGTTGGTACTGACGCATAGTGACCTCATGCACAGCTGAATGAAACACTGCCCAATCCTGGCCAACTTCACTACTGTTGCCACACTTGAGTCCATCGATGCCACCACTTGGCCAATCCATCTCGTTGGGGATCTTCCTCTCTTTCTCTGAACCTCCACCTTACCAAACATGATATCCTTCTCCAGCGACTGGTCCCTCCTGACAATATGTCTGAGGTATGAGACACGAAATTTGGTCCTCTTGGCCTCCAAGGAGCACTCTGGCTGCACTTCTTCAAAAACGGATCAATTGGTTCTTTTGGCAGCCCATGGCACTTTCAATATTCTCCTCCAACACCATAACTCAAAAGCAACAATTCTTCTACAGTCTTTCTTAGTCACTGTCCAGCTTTTGCATGCATATGAGGTTATTGAAAATACCATGGCTTGGGTCAGGCGCACCTTAGTCCTCAAGCTGACATCTTTGCTCTTCAACACCTTAAAAAGGTCTTGTGCAGCAGATTTGCCTAATGCAATATGTCCTTTGATTTCTTGACTGCTGCTTCCACAAGTGTTGATAGTTGATTCAAGAAGAATGAAGTCCTTGACAACTTCAATCTTTTCTCCACTGATAAGAATGTTGTTTATTGGTCTAGTGGTGAGGATTTTTGTTTTCTTTACATTGAGCTGTAATCCACACTGAAGGCTGTGCTCTTTGATCTTCATCAGTAAATGTTTTAAGTCCTCTATGCTTTCAATAAGCAAGGTTGTATCATCTGCATATCGCAGGTTGTTAATGAGTCTTCTTCCAATCATGATGCCATGTTTTCCTTCATATAACCCAGCTTCTCAGATTATTTCCTCAGCATACTGGTTGAATAAGTATGCTGAAAGAATACATCCCTGTCACACACCTTGCTTAATTTTAAAACATTCAGTGTTCCCATGTTCTTTTCGAACAACTGCCTCTCGGTCCAGGGACAGATTGCTCATGAGCACAATTAAAGTGTTCAGAATACTTATGCTTCGCAATATTGTCCACAGCTTGTCATGATCCACACAATCAAAAGCCTTTGCATAGTCAATAAAGCACAGGCAAACATCTTTCTGATATTCTCTGCTTTCAGCCAAGATACATCGGACATCAGCAATGATATTTCTCGTTCCATGGCCTCTTCTGAATTCAGCTTCAACCTCTGGAAGTTCTCTGTCAATGTGTGTTTGTAGCCATTTTCTGTCTTACCTTTAGGAGTAGTGTTACTCCTATAATCATTATTGCTTCAACATGAAAAGAACTCAAGTATCATTCATCTCCACACAAACCATTTTATGGGGCTCTGAAATCTAGGTCTTTAAACGTGCTGCATTCTATCAGTAAATACAATACAAGACATTAATATGTTTACTGTCTAATGTAGACTTGCATTACTACTCAGAATACCCATGATACTTCAAAATCTGAAAGAACACTATCATATTTATCTATCATAACTACAGTTACGCTTCATAAGGTACTTTATGCCCATCAACCACTGACATTAATGGGAGCAATATTTAAAATACTATGCTTCCCTAGTTAGGTCATTTTCATAAAATCTTTATATGAAGTCAGAGAATTTTACAGTAAAACACTTACATATTTAGTTTTGCAAAGCTCTCTTGTGCATTATGCTTTTCTCGTTCATACGCACTTTCAACTTCTTTGAATTCATTTTTTATCATTTCCAAATCAGCAACGGCTTCTGCTTGGCTGGCCTTTTCTACTTGTAGAGCTCCTTCGAGGTCTCGAATCCGTAACTAGCAGATGACAGTAGAGTAATTAAAGCAACCTAAGAAAGACTAGCATCAATCTTAAATTAAGTAGAATGCTTTCTCAATGGCAGATTATCATCCATCCAAACACTTCTTTTTTCTGCTTTAGTTTAAAAAGAAAAATAAACAAGATAGTTTATTCTTTTTCTCAATATGTTTATTGGCAAGGAGGAAAAAATAAAACTATGAAAAGTTAGCTGCATTATGAGAAACGATAATAGCTGTCCCATCTGTCTTAGTGCTACGGTACTGCTATTGCACAGATAGGAAGACTGTAACAACTAGAACTTGATTCTCTCAGAGTTTAGGAGGCTTGGTGTTGGTAAGTGCCATAGAGTTGGTTCCAACCCATAGCTGTAGAGGGTTCCCATCGAGCAGTTGGTAAGCTTGAACCACCAACCTTGTGGTTCAAACGACTTTGCAGAGCAGCTCATTTGCCCATAGTGCCACACCAGGACTCCTTGGTGATAGTTGTTGGTGTTGTTGTTATGTGCCATGGAGTCAGTTCCGACTCATAGCGACCCTGTACAGGGTTTCCGAGGCTGTAAAGCTTTACAGGAGCAGAAAGTCTTATCTTTCTCCCGTGGAACATCTGGTAGTTTTAAACTGCTGACCTTGCGGTTTGCAGTATGATTCATAGTTGTTGTTGTTGTTGTTGTTGTTATGTGCCGTGGAGTCGGTTCCGACTCATAGCGACCCTGCACAGGGTTTCCAAAGCTGTTAATCTTTACAGGAGCAGAACGCCTCATCTTTCTCCCGTGGAACCGCTGGTAGTTTCAAACTGCTGACCTTGCGGTTCGCAGCCTGATTCGTAACCACTGCGCTACAATTCTGCTCAAATCTCTCTCCTTTGAAATCTCCAAAGAGATTAACTCAAAATACAACCTAATCCTATGGATTGCATTTGGCCTCCTTAACATCATAGAAATGAGGAATGACACCATAAAGGATCATTACATTACTTCTATGCGTCTACGGCCATACTACCCTGAATGTGCATGAGTCTGGGAGTTCTAACAGGAGTCCTGGTGTGGCGCTGTGGGCTAATGCGTCAGACTGCAAAGTCGTTTGAACTGCAAGGTCGGTGGTTCAAGCTCACCAGCTGCTCCTTGGAAACCCTATACAGGGTCGCTATGGGTCGGAAACCACTCAAGGGCACTTAACAACAACAACAAAATAGTGTGGTGCTTACGAATCGGGCTGATAACCTATGGGTCAGTAGTTCAAAACTACCAGCTGTTCCATTGAAGGAAGGTGAGATTTTCTATTCCCGTAAAGATTTACAGCCTTGGAAACCCAAGTCAGGGTCACTATGAGTCAGAACCGATTCCATGGCATACCACCACCACCATCATCAGGAAAATTACAACAAATCAGGGGTAATGACATCAGTCACTATTACAGGAGTCACTGAATCATTACAAACTACCAAACCAGTAAGAATCACAGTTTAGACAAGCTGAAACCATCATTTTGTGAGGGACACAATTAATTCCATTACATCATCCTACCAAAGTGCCCAATTTTAATCTCCACAAGATAAGTACTAGACTGTGAACCACAAGGTCGGCAGTTAAAGACCACCAGTCACTTTGCAAGAGAAAGATGAAGCTTTCTGCTCTTCCAAAAACTTCAAAAACTTCGAAAATCCTAAGCAGGTCACTATGAGTTGGAAACCAACTCAACAACACTCAACAACAACAATCTAGTGATACCCAAGAGCTGCTCCTCAGAAACCCTATACAGGGTCACTATGAGACAGAACCAACTCAGCAGCACTTAACAACAATTTAAAAAGCTACAAGGCAATTTTTAAAAGGCAGTTTTCTATGTAGTGTTTGTTATAGAAAGAGCTCCAGGACATATTGTTCAATCGAAAGTAGCAAAAAAACAAAATATATGGTATGCTGTATTTTTATTCAACAAGTGGGTAAATTAGAAGCAGTGAAGGACAAGGGGCTAGACAAATGGAAGGCCCAGAAGTGAAAGCAAGAATTTCCAAACTTTTAGTATTGTTTTAATTTTACTTTGTGAATATTTTACCTTTTGAGAAAATTACATTAAAAATCAATTAATGTGTATTTGTTAAAGTTAAAAAAGGGGTGGGAGGCAATTGTGTTACACTTGATAGAAAATGAATTTTAAGAATTTAAAATATCCTGAGCATATTACTAAAATTCCTCATCAGTAAACAGTAAATAACAATGATAATAATAATACCTAGACTAGCTACTTTACAGGGTTACATCAAGGACCAAAATGACACCACACGTCTTTAATGAATGTTTATGGAGCACTTAATATGTATGCGGCAATATGTGAGTGCTCAAGATCTTCACAGCAATTGTGAGCATCTGCAGGCTTTAGGAGCCGGTCCGGAAGCACTCCCTGTGATAGAGGCAGGTCAGGGGTCATGGAGTCAAACAGAGCTGGGAACTCGAGGGCAGCTTAGGGCCGACCTCACAGGGCAGGAGAAAGGCAGTCTGAGCTTCTCAGCAAGTCTAACACAATATGAAAGTGCTACACAAATTTATCTATCTAGGTGATAAACACCAGAAATGTTTTTTTCAGACCAAAAATGCTGTGGAGTAATCTTGCAACATTTTATTCTTACACTAAAGTAAGAGCTCTGGTAGCGTAGTGGTTACGAATCGGGCTGCTAACTTCATGGTCTGCAGTTGGAAACTACCAGCTGTTCCAC